ATGAATTCATAAAAATTCATTTTGACATAGTTTTACAACATTGCAGAGATGACCAACAAGACTTCAATAATCCTAATTATGATCGTGAATTACTACTTCGTTGTGTGAATAACTTCATCACGCTTTCCACTAAACTATCATACATATATTAAACCAATAAAGGCAAAGCAGACATTTCTGTGACTTGATAGTTTTCTCATAGCACAATGGTTCTGATACAATCTTTGTTTTCATACTACATAGCAGTCATGAAGATACGAATTAATTGCATTTCTTCTTAACATAACTTATTATTTGTCAGTAGACAGAAAACAAAGGTTAAATAAGGTCAATATACAATGCTTTTCGATCAAAAAATTTTTTCAATTAATATATCATACGGTCTTCTAGCTTCCCTATAAGTATCTATTTATTTTCTTCAGTGTTTCTGACTCCACCGTCGGAATATGACTCTAAAAAAATCTCGGAAAATCATCATTGAACTGATGTAGACGTTCAATTGAGATCTTTAATATTTTCAATAGAGGAGCGAATATCAGTAGTTTTTAACACAAACAATTCTTTCTATTACTGACAAAATATTTTGGAAAAGTTCCAACTTTGACTAAAAATCAGTAGTATTTCGAATATTTGTTGTATCAAATCTAATACAATGGATAAATGAATATTTATATATAAATTATTACCATAACACGTGTCAATAGTTTTTGACGATTTGTTTATTCGATGCCTCATAAATTCTTGCTTATTTCGAAAAAAAAAACTGCTTCAGTATTATAAGTGATAATTCAAGGATAAGGATTTTTGAATGAGTTGGAAAGAGATTACTAATTTTAGCATAAAGTATTGAAATTGATTTTGTTTAGAGTATGAACAAGAATGCATGATAACGAATGTGAGAATTCATTCTACCAAATAATGAATCTTTCTAGATTCAATTAGGATATTTGTTAATAGAATAATAAACATAGCCGAGATTGTGTCATAGTCTTATTTTTCTGTGTAGCATATGATACTTACATATAAATAGATTAGCTGATAACTAAAACTATAATTATAACTAATTATCAAAAGATAGAATGAAATTCTCATAGTTTCTAAATAAGATTTGTAATTAGAAGTTTATCAATGGCAAGTAGAATCTACTTACATGTAGAGTTTCCTAAAATGATTTTTCCATTTATAAACTTTTCTTTAGTTGAATTTCTTAGAGTTCTAGACAAGCGGCATCTAGAAAGTAGTATTTGACACTTTACGCAACAAATAAATAATCATGCTAATGTTATGTTCTTATTCGTAACTAATAAGATAGAAAAAAAAATTGATAGAGGACAAGAAATATCATACAAATCAATATTTACAACTACATGGTAGTGTCTAGATGATTGACACGCTAATTCGTTGTTCAATTAGTCTGAGGAAAGTTGGAGTTTCATCATTATTACCGCACAGTCACTAAAGTAGGCAATTCACATAATGAAGTAAGAACAAATTTCATCATCACCTTTCTCTTACGCAAACTTTTTTTCCTTCACCCACAGGTTATGTCGCAACTAGATAAAAATGTTTCAAAATAGTATAAATAAAATGTTTCTTATTACAACTCTACCAAGAGTGTTTTTTCACATCGAAACAAGTACCATTTCTACTTATACAATTTTTTAATGGCAGAAGTATCAGAAACATCATTAAGTAATACAATACAATTAAGTATCTCGGCCAATGTGGCAAAAACTGTGTCTACCATTGCCGAAACGGCCTACTCCACAATGGCCTCCACAAATGGTGATAGCGAAGCACCTCCGCTGAAAAAACTTAAAACGATTACTAACGATCAACTACGTCCACTTGAAGATCGCATTACATCAAGTTTGTCATGCTGTATCTGTTTGAATCTTTCAATATTGCCTATGTACCAATGTGTTAATGGTCATTTAATGTGTTCTTCGTGTTTCTATCATCTCTTAACCGATTGTAATCTTAAAGATGAACAAACCGTTTGTCCAAATTGTAGATGTGAAATTCCAAAAACGGATTACATACGGAATCTAGCAGTGGAAAAAATCATATTAGAGTTACCAATTGAGTGCATTTATTGTTCATGTACATTTCTTCGCCGTGAAATCAAATATCATCAATCACAAACGTGTCAAAAACGACCAACTGTGTGTGAATATTCATTGCTTGGCTGTGATTGGACAGGTTCTTTTCATAGTCTAAGATCTCATGTGGCCGTTTGTGAATACCCACACAAGACCGGTCGACAATTATTAGATACGATTCGAGTACAAAAGCAAGCATGTGACACCGAAAAGAAATGTCTTGAAACTGCTCTCGACCTACTTTCGCTTAAGCAAGTTAGTGCCCATGATCTCGTTCTGGAACCATGTCGTACGGATGATTTTACTGCTAAGCTCTACTTTGAAACGCCAGTTTTTACAGCTCTAGACTATCAATGGAAAGTACGTGCATATATCAACGACAATACACCACATCCACACACTGCCGTTATACGCTCGTTAAGCTATCAGCTTGTACTTGAATCAAGCGTTAGTAAAGCTATCAGTTTGAATTTTTTTATTGTCAAAGGTCCTTATAGTGATTTGTTTACTTCACAAATTCAACCTATCATAAGTCATTTTGAATTCAATGAAAACGATATCGAAACCGAATATGTAAAACTGCCGCTTAGTTCACAAGACTGCAATCGAATTTTATCATCGTCGTCTATTAGTTTTCGACTCTGGATAGTAAAAGATATACCAAAAAGCACGATACAAAACAAACTTCGAATATCTGTACATTTTTCTGATGATAGAGAATAGTTTCATATTGTAGTTGATTAATAAAACGTTTTTTTTAATACTATTGAACAGTACTCTGATTTTTTTTTCATGCAAAACTGTGACTCTTTTATCGAGAGATGGCAGGTTCTCTCTGAACTTTCTCAAAACTCCATAAGATAAAATCTTCAGAAGCATATTGTGAAACTCCATAAAAACTAGAGCTGTCGGTGAGGATCTGAAAGTTGCTATAACATTCGACAAAACTATGAAAAATTGATGTAATCTCCAAAATCTGTACTAGTATCATCAAATCTGTAATGAATTGAATAAGCGAAAAACGAGCTAGCAGCTGACAAATTCTTTAAGGTTCGCTCTACCATATCACATGAGATTCTGTATGATGTTTAGTATTGTGAAATATTTGAAAAAAAATTGATGGACACATTGAATGAATGTTGAATAACAAAAATTTCAAAACACACCAGTTCTGCCTTGATAGGATGGCAAACTGTTGTTTATTTCAGTCTACAACTGACGCACAATTCCTCGCAAGATCATTCAAAGTCTGAAAACAGCAATAATTGATGGTGTAGACATGGATAAGGAGAAGAGAGATTCACATTTACAGTGATTGTATGGAATTTCGGTAACGAAATTTCGCCAACGCCGAAATTCTACTGACAAATTGACAATATACATATCAGCTGGAGTTGTAATGTATGGCAGGAATGCAATTTTCTTAGTTTTCATGTTAACACGAAGGAAATACTTATTTAGTAAGAACAAGATGTTAGATAATAAATTAATTATAAGTTTATTATCTTTAACTAACACCAGTAACAAATAGAGAAAGGAAGAGTGATGATTTAGTGCATGTTTTAAGAAAGAAAAGTGAAGATATTGGACCCTGATGTAATGTGATGACGATCTTGTCCATGTTTCAGTTATGAAAGAAAATCGAAAGTATTGAAGGATCATGTAATGTAGGTCGAAATGCAAGAAAAAAAAAAGAAAATGTGTGCATCAATGGCGTAGTCAGGAATTTATAAGGCATGGACCATTTCCCAGCTAAATTACTTTGAAGGATGGGCAGCAATGGACTATTAGAAAATCACTTGGACTACAGTTTTTCCAAAGCTCAAAAAATTTTTCGCCTTAAATGTCCCCTTGTTCTTCGAAAAATCGTCTGTCTTCATCAGCCAAATTTCCCAAAAAGTCAACAGTGAAGAACAAGAAAACCAAAAAAAAGTTTTCACCTTGGCTCTCTGAAGGACTTCCGATGACGTCAGCTCTGGATAAATCGTCTATTGATGTTTTCAGATATGCATATGGATCGACATTTTCGAGCATTGGACAATTGGTATGATCTCAAAAAAATCGTTGAGCAATTGCCCAATGGTCCTACCCTGACTACACCATTCGTGCGCATCTATCAAAGACATAATTTTGTAACAGTAGTTCAAGAATTTAATATTGTATTAATTGAGATTTAACTCATTACCTTCGATTTCATCTCATGTGAGTATGGTTGAAATTTTGATGGAAAATGGACAATAAAATATCCATAGATAATTATGATTGTCATAATTTCGTGATAATTTCGACAATAATGGAAATTCGACATTGACGAAATTTCCTCTTATCTAATCTTTGGATACGTGAACATGATTAAGATAAACGAGCAATATTAATGGAAAAAAATCATCGTAGAATATTCCATCAAACATATATGTGCTGTTCTTCTTGCGTCTCTACAACAGGTGGTTAAATACATTTCAGTAAGTATTGATATGTTTTCACAAGAACACATTAGAGATGGTGGTAGAAAAATGACTCATCAATTACTCTTATCGAAACGTCTGACGTAAGGCTTACAATTTCTCTTATTCATTCTAAAAAGACGCCTTCTAGTAGCATGAAAAATCCATAAAAAGTATTTTATCTCTTCCTATTTAATGTTGGACAAGTACAATAACAACAACATCGCGTCATAAACGTTAATGCGTTTTGTTTTTCTTTTTTTCTCTCGCTTGTACTCACCTGTCTAGTAGCTGTACTATTTATTGATCATACATCCTTCGATTTTTCTCCTGTTTACCTCTGTTAGTCATTTAATAAATGTCATTGCACAAAAACTTTCACTTTAAATGTAAGATCGATAATGTATAAGTATAATCTATCATTTTTAGATTGATTCTTACTGTCTATATAACAATGTTCGATATTGAAGAGCAAAAAGAGAATCTTCTGGAATCAGATGCAACGACATCGATCAAAAGATCTCATCCAATATGGATACAATTGCGTCGATATACACGACAATTTGTTGTTTTTATTGGATTCTATCTTATTCAAGTAGTGACATTATTGTAACTTATTCGAAACTATTCCGATTATTTGTTGATAGATTTATAATTTTTTACGTGATGCTTCTCGTGATATATTGCATTCACGTTCAAGATCAGTTTCAGTAGTACCACAAAGAGAATATACTCAACTTTCAACCTATGCCAACAATGGTATTTTATTTTCGAATAAATTTGATAGTTCTATTCAAAATATATTTTTTTTTATTTCTAGAAACGGATACCGAAATCGAAACACAAGCTCAAGATTCTGTTGAATCACCATTGGCAGACAGAAATGAAAATTTACAAGAATCGATAGATACACAATACATACCAGGTATAGTTCAAAATATTTAGTCGAATCATAATACATTTCTTCTGATTTTTTTTTCAATATAAAGATGTGAACATCGATTCATTTGTCGAAATCCCGATTGCCAATGGCAATACCTCAATAGCACTGGTCTCCATAACTACTGGTAATTTATCTTTATTAGATAATTTCTTCTTCGAGAATAAATTACAATTGAATATATATATTTTTTTAGTATCTTCTCCTTCATCAGCCTTCAATTCTCCCACTGCATCACATCCGTTTATCACAAGAAATCCTATGCAAATCGCTCTATCTTATAATAGCGAAACAAATGATCGAATCAAAGAGATTAGTCAATTGATTCATGATAGTCTTACTACTCCAGATTGTCCACATCCAGTTTTTTATGGTCCAAATTTTGAAGATGAATTAGCCGTACGTAATGGAGATAAAGTTTTAGAAAGAATTTATAGACGAGCTGCTCTTGTTGTCGTCTTTCTTTCAACGAACTATCATAATTCTCAGTTTTGTTATGATGAATGGCGAACAATTAAATCTCGATTTTTTGTTGGTTGTAACGATGCAGAAGATGAACGATTACTTCTTGTTAAATTGAGTGATTTTAATGCCGATGAATTAAGTATTCATCCAACTGATTTCTATATCGATGGAACAGATAAGACCGATCAAAGATTGGCTGAATTAATCGTTCGACGATGGCACAAAGTCGCACAGTTATCCAAGTGAATAAACAACCGAAAATTTATGAACAATTCTAATAAACAAAAAAATTTTCGAATAATTTTTTTTGTTTGAAGAGAAAGCTGTGAGATTTTTTATTGTACCAAAGTTTCTTACGTGGACAATTTGCATAGTAAACACTTCGAAGATCGTTGTTCCGCTACAAAATATTCGTAAATGGACCATATGATACATACAGAACTATAATTGATAGAACAAATGTGAATTTGATGTTTGTGTTTTTTGTTTCTGAGATAATATTCCTTATTATAAATTAAAAACATTATTCACATTGTAACAAAATGTATGCTTGGTATTTGTCAAATCGTGATAGTAGCACCTATATCTCACCCTCACTTTCAAGATAGTTTGAGCTATTCTATCTCATTTAGTTAATAGACTTATTTTTATTTAAATTGAATCCATAGGTCAAACAGAGTTTATCTGAAATTGAAGCAAACGTCTCGAGTCGTCGCTAACTTTGGAGAAAATCTTGACTACATATTTTTATCCAAACATTGAACAAATTCAAGCTACGATTCTCCATAATATTACACTTTTTTAAAAAGACTCTTTGCATCCTCATCAAATATTTGTTTTGTTCTAATTCGACGGAATTCCAATATTTGGTCCGATAAAGTGAAGAACAATATGTCTTTGTATTTCGTAATTAAATAATTTAGCACATAGTTTATGTGTGTTTGTCTCAATTACGATAGACTTTGACTACTTCTTGCGCACTACAATTATGTTCGAATAATGGATTTGTTCTGCAAGCTTGTAGATTATTGACGCCGAATGAACACATAAGATCTTCAATCAAATAATGGCATGGTAAAGTGATCTGGACTATTGATCGTTCGTGGTTGTATACACACAAAACACTATTCACCTACCATGACTGATTTGTGACAAACAGATTACTTTTGCCTGAAAAGTCACGGGAGCGACATACTGCTGCAGTTGCATTTCCGTCGAATCCATCATTTATTCGTCCACTGAACATTGATAATGGAGAATAATATGTAATAAGAAGTTGACAATATGAATATGCCGCTAATGCTCAATCATCATCTTATATAGGTTTATGCTATCGATCACTTCCTTCGTCTGTTTATCTCAAGTATGTCTTCTCATTTATGTTTCCAGAAGTCATAAATAACTGAAGTTTATAAAGATAAATGTGTGATGGTTGCTTCATGATATTTAACTCGGAAGAGCAATTTCAAGTCTAGACATCTATTACGAAGAAAATTCTTCAGATAAAAAAATGAGTTAGTTTATCAGCGTTAGAGAAGCCCCATTTAGCTTAGAAAAAGACAAAAATGATCAACATGTTTCTTCTTTGAGTAAAAACTGGTGTCTGCTTTAGTGACCTTTTGACTTCGAGCGAGGTGTTTATAGAGGAAAAAGTTCAATAAACGATTGTCGGTCGAATTCTACGTCTAAAAATTAATAGAGTGATCACTAGAATGTTCTGAAAGTTTCCGTCAATAAGAAAATTCTTTCAGAAGTTGTGATTCTGAAGAAAGCTAACTTTTTCGACGCGACGAACGTTTTACAAACTCAATAATTCGACGAGTTTCGGTATTGAACGGAGACATTCTGAACACCACGATACTTGGGGTGTGAGTGTGGATATGGGTACGAGAGTTCCTATGTCCTCACTTCACTTCCACACATCCACACCCCACACCCTCAAAACTATGTTGGCAATGGCAATATCCATTCGACCATCATTGCTAAGATCACCAATGACAAACGGCTTCGGTCGCGAACTCTTACCAGTTGTGATTGGGATTTGATATACACAGCCTATGTTGATGCATCCAAGAAGAACTACAACTTCATCAACAAGCATATTGAAGACAACGATATCCAACAACTAATCATTGTTGAAATCAACAACAGCTAGAGACTCTTGATCACGGCCAATTGAATACTTGATTTGATTTGCAAAAGAGGCATTACCATATCCAAGATGGATGCATACGTTATCGCTACTCCATTGGGCGACAACAATATCTAGTCGGTTGTTCTTGTGAAAATCACTCACAACTACAGAGTATTGAGAAGAGCCAGTGGAATACGTTATTCCATTTACAAAAGAGGGTGTTGAGTGTGAGTGTGTGTGTGTGTAGATGTAAGCTTATCTCTGGTATCTAGCCGCACCAACAACCTCACACCTATATTCGCATCCACTTACCCACAGACCACATAGCCACATCTATACCCCACACCGATACTTACATCACACAGCTACATTCTAATCTCTTATGAATATAATATAATATGATTAATTTAAAAAATTACAAATAGAAATTATGATCGTTCGTTGTATAATGCATATGTCTAAGAATATGGTTAAAAATTATTATCTTCTATTGCTCCTGCATGATCGGGTGGTGGGCCATCGATCTTAATATTCATCTTTTCATTGAATCGTGCGCCTTCAACGGACATAGAAATATCCAGTTGAAGAGCTTGAGTGCGTTCTATTTCCTTGACTGCAATGCCTAAGTTGTCTTGCGCAATCCAGACTATCGGTTTGGGATCTCGCATTGCTGGATGCAGGTATGCTTGCTCCATTCTATTGTCATGCGACTCCACCACAGAGTTATCTATATTAATGACAACGTTAGCACCACTAGTCGTCTGAGCAGGACTGAGCTGTGAAAATTCCTCTGCATCAACAGGTAAATAGTATGTAAGAGAATCGAAGCTTGAACTGATAGCAGATTGAACGCTGATTGTGAAAGCGATCAACACACACATTAATGCACCTTCGGCAATAGCCGACTGGGAACCAGATTCATTCTGTGCTAAGAAGAAAAGGCCTGCAAGCATAATTTCCATGAGATAAATGCCCGTAAACGACTGATAGATTGCCCTTGGAAACGTAAGACCTCCAGTATCGTTTGGAAAATCTGACACGTAGAACATCGTATAAATGTAGGCAATGTAAAAGAAGCCGAATGCTAACCCAGAAATAAGGAGCATCAAAGGTGCAATGATCGAGTAAACTAGAGTAATCACGACAAAATTTGTGAAAATAGGAAATATTGTACCCCAGCTGAGACTGCTGAGTGTGAAATAGCGTGTATATTTCTTTCGTGGTGTATTATCGAATAATTTTCCCAGCAGATAAAATACAATAAGTGTTCCGATCTGCAGCAACAGACCAGAAGCGATGCTCAATCCTTGTAATGATAGGAAGCTGAAGAAGAAATTGCTGGCAGTTGGAATATTGGCAGCAAGTATTGTTGCAGCACTAGATGGATCTTGAAGGATAACTGTTGCAACGCTCGAAACACTACTCGAAATAGTAACTACTAGAAAGACGTGCACGACTTGGAAGACAAAGTAAGATCCTTGTACATAACGATCGATGGCATCTGTAGTAGGAAGTCCAGATATTGTTGCAAATAGTCGCAGTACAACAGGAAGTAATGCCATTAAAACAGCCAAAAGAACAGTTGGTAGAAGACCCGTAATCAAGCCTAGTAGAGCGCTTGGTAAGTCATTAATGAATCGAAGAAAGGTCAGCTTGTTCGTGAGGTACGTTAGATTTGAGAGGATGCCAACAAACGCAACGGGAATCGCCCAAAAAACAATCAAAGCCGTAGTTGCAGCCAGCATGGCGAGCTGTCTGACTTTCTGCTCGTAATAGGTCATCTTTAAATTTGACCAAACGATATTTGTCGGTTTTATCTCATTGTAACGAGGTGTCATTGCTAGAGGAACAGAAGCCGCAACACTTTGAACTGCCATGTGAGCTGCTATCTGTTTATTGAATTGAATAAATGCAGAGTTTATGGCTGCATAATTTTGTGGAGTTGTTTTCGCTCTTTCGATTTCAGTATTTAATTGTGAAATCTTTTCTTTGCAATATGTGATTGTGTCGACTTTTTTGCCAAAGCACAAGGAAGATAGAACTGGAATAGATCCAATCTTCATTGTGGGTCGTATCTTTTCCGGAACATAATTGTCGATAGTAGTTTCTTCAGTTATTCCAGAACGCGTTTTTGAACCTTCCTTTTTTCGGCGTTTTGCTTCGTTTTTTAATGCAGTTTTGATCAAGTTACATTCAGCTGTCTCGAGTTTTTCAACCATTTTCGTGCGCTCGTCCGCCTTATCAGGAAGATCTTGTAGATTTCGATTTAGCCATAAATGCCTCACTCCGCCTGGATATTGATTGAAAATTCGAAAGAGAACATCCTGTGACATATAGGCTTTGGGTATGCCAGTAACGAGAATGGTTGTTGCACTGGCACAGGATCGATATGCAGGACTTCTAAGAAGTGCTTGGCGTTTTTCTACGAAAGCTTTCATTTCTGCGTATAGAAGGTAAAGAAATACACCAATGAAAATGTAAGCCAGTATCAATGGAGCTACATAACGAGAGGAATGATGCGGAGAAATATTCCCAAAAGTTAGTATATCGAGACCTGTTTTATTATAAGAATCACCTTTTCCATCAACGACATATATAGGAAATAAAACGATTGCTAAAAGGGCAAACGAACTCAAAAAGAAGAAGGCATGAATGTAGAGATAGCGTGCGAAGAAGTAAGCGTCAAGACCAGAGGTACGAATCAGATCCTCCTGTGGCATTCTTAACAAGGTGGGTAGCCAACCGAATAATGTCTTTGGCAGAGGCTGGACTCGTCGCTTTTCATCTCCAAGATATGTTTTCGGTTCATAGATGCGTGTGAACATTGTTCTGATAATGATGAATATCAGAATTTCGACAGCAGCGATAATTCCAGCGACCGCAAGTGTAGTAAGAAATTGAGAGAGCGAAGCTCCTTGTGAGCTATGAGCGGGACTCGTTGTAGTGTTTGCCATTTGTCAGTGAATAGTAGTGAATAGAGTCTAGTAGAAGAAATAGGAACTGAAACACATAAGTAAGTGTCGTATCGTTCTATTCAATTACAGGAGCTAGGTTACCAATGTGTGTGTGTGTGCAAACAGTTTAGTTTTTATTCAGTTGTAATATTCTTACTTTTAATATGAGAAAAACAAAAAGAAAATGACGATGTGAGCACGACGTTGTGGTATGTTTACGCCAAACTTAGGCTAGCGAGGGATAAATTATCAATAAAAAAAAACGCAATAGAAGGACGATAAGTTTTCGAGAGGTTGACAACAGAATAGCTGGTTGTGATATCGTAGATAAAGAACCGAAAGAATGGATAACGTTAAGATAAAAGAGTAACGCGAATCAGACGAGAATATAAATGAATTGCGTCTTTTCTGCATTCACACGCAGACAACTTCACGAAGAATCTTTTAGCAGATTTTTCGCGACCAGCGTCAGTCAAGTAGTATCCAGGCAGAAGACACCTTTATTTCTAACGTTGAAAAAGAACGTGAGGTGGGGGATAGGGCGTGGGTACGCGGTGTAGAGTATGGATATTCTTTTTACTCCGCGCGTTACAGCCCACAGCCTACACTCTCACTCGACATCCCACACACTTTTTGATTGAGACGACTGCCATTAGATCGATCCTAGCGAGCATAGAAAAGATCTATTTTGTTTGACCTGAAAGTTTATCTATAGGAGCCATTGCACGATAGGGACGATTCAAATAATGGACCATGTGCTTAATTGATGCCACATATTTCAATGAAGTTTTCCCTGTGTGTGGTCCTAAGTCAGATATGAAAACGCCTAAAATTTTTTCTTCTAAAACTTTTCCCTTGTTGAGATATTGAAATCACAATAAAGGCACCCTCAGGTATGAAACTTTATGAATGTATACTACTGTAGTTACGCTACAGACTGACATACTCAAAATCAGTTTTGATTGTTTTAAATGCCACAACGAGATTTCACAGTTCATCCATACTCTCCCTAGCTTGTGACCAGGATTTCTATCGCTTAGGAGCGACCTATGAGCTCGCGCTTTGAAACTAAGTACTATTGTTCTGTAGGTATTAGCATTAATTTCCAGTACTTTGATGTTTTGCTTTTCATCCGAACAAAAACCTTTTCTGATATATGTATATGATATGTTGCAAAGGAAAGAGTTTTAAAAATTATGATACAAGCTATTCGAAAAAAATCTTGTTCCATTCTAGAAATAATCAAATTTTTCTAAGGGTCCTATCATCAGAAAAACACATTTTTTATAGTTATTTTATAATAGTCATATTTGAACATGAATAAATCTATTTAGCTTGAGATTTTTACTGTACATATTTATCAAACAGATGTAATATCAAAAGACAATGAGTTCAGATGGGTGAACTATTGATAAATTGATCAGAAATATCATGTACATGACCAAATGGCCATTTAGTGGTGTTTTATGTATATACGTATCTCTTGAACTAATTGTATTGGCGAGCTGTAATGTTGGCTATAGAGAGATCTCATCGAACACTTTTGTTGAAAGTTCAGCTCTTTATATATATATGGCACAGTTGACATAAGAACTCAGTCGAGTTTGGAATCGTTCATATTTCAGTAGATGTTTGATACTATAAAAATCGCTCATTCAAGATGACTAAAAAATGATGAGCAATCTTTCGAGGCATTGTATATCTTTTGCTGAATAACAGAAACATGTAAACGATTGATCGCTATCAAGCTATTCAAAATAAATAATCTTTTTTGTTCCATTCGGTAAATCATTTGCATCTTTTATTTCCTATGATGGAGTCATCGGGAACATAAGCGATTGTTCAGAAATTAAATCAGATGACTACCGATATTTAATATCCTAAATGAACAATTGCTCGTATTTCAAGTCTAGTATATATTTGTGTGACTCCAGTGATTCATCATTCAAAACACAAAGAAAAGAGATTCATTTATACAACCACTCAACAGCTGTTCTTTTGCTACTTTGTTCTAGCCAATCGTGGATATGAGTATGGGTATGGGTCTTCTGTTCTTGCGTACCCACACCCACCATATTGTGCTTCCAAAAAGTGCCTGGAATTTTCGAACAATCTCTCTTTCCTTCTCTCAATCATGCAATACTGGCTCTCGCCTACAACAACATCGGCTACGTGCATTTCAACATGGAAAACTACTCAGACACCCTATCGTTCTCTCAAAAGTCACTTGAAATTCGACAACGATCTCTTTCTCTCAATCATATTCTTCTGGTTCAAACCTACAAAAATATCGGTGGAGTGTTTGAAGAAAAGGGAGACAACACAATGATACTCCCGTTTTTCGAATCTGCACTTGAAATCGTACAAGGTTCGCTGCCGGATCATCATGCAGTTTTAAAGGCTTTTCGAGACAACATTGATCGTGCACGAGAAAAAGCGCATAGTAGCGAAATAAAGGATCTCTTCATGTCAAAAAATGGATTATCTTGTTAGTATTTATAGGCAGCAATAATAGCATATCTATTTTTCACAAAGCAACCAAACTTCATCCTGATATGATCGATGATTTATCCTTATTCTCGTTATATGCTCTCTCGAATCTTATTGATTTTTTCACAGCTCGTATAAATCGAATTGAGAAACTAGTATTTTAATACATTTAACATAAATATATGGACTCAAATCGACACTTTTAGTCAACGAGCATATAAAGTTTCTTCATTATTAATTTATCCTAATTTGTTGAGATATAAGCTTTCTCTATCTAGAAAAAAACTATCCATTTGCTTGATGACTCTGGACTATGAGAAATATTCGCAAGTACTAGTGAAGAATATCAACGAGATAAAAAATGATTTTTTTGCAAAGATGCCATCATTTGTCAAGTGTCCAAGTCTAATTCACCATTTTGTATTCGAGATACTCTAACAAGTCGTATAGTAACTGGTAGAGATTATTACTAACTTTACATAGCGAAGACGACACAGAATTCTTACTATGGCTAGGAAGGAAAGATTCAGTCTACTACAACCCCATATTGATCGGGCTGATTCCGACTTAGACAGCATTGATCTATCGAATAAGTATTCTCATCAAAGTACGTATTTTATGAAGTTAAACCATGTTCAGGATCATCAGCAGGTACAAAAAATGGATAAATAGAAAAAATCACAAATTCATAAATGTTTTGAATTGATTTCTATTGGTAAGAATCGAATGTTCGACTGTCGATTTTAGTTGTGTCATATTGATTCATGCAAATGTAACCAATTTCTAAAATGAAAATAATATTTAAGTATGCTTTGATAAACGAATCCTGACAATCCTTTCATCAGTGGCAAACAAAATTAATATTCATCTCCAAACTTAATGAACAAACAAAACAGTTTGATATAATCACGATAATGTTCACTGTAACATTCACTATCGATATATTCAAAGGATTATTGTCAAACAAAATCGGCAACAACATGTTAAAACAACTACATCTTTGTAAGTCAATTAACTTTTCAATTAACGAACAGTTTCACAATATTTAGGAAAATATCGAAAGGATTATCATAAATGGTTTGATATTATTTCATTTTAAACACACTCACACTCGTATCATCTATACTGTCAGTTATCAATCTCCCAAAGAAGAAATCCACAAAAACAAGTTTATTCAGTTGTCAACTAATTGATTTTCTATAGAATATATCGCCAAGCAGCATGCTGATCTCCCAATTCACGAATTTCCTGTTCGGACATATTCTCATAACCCCATCGTCGTCTGTCTTCTTCGCTGCCTACACCACATATATCAAGGTTTTGTACATCTGTTTCACACGATGTCGATTCGCCATTGACAAGCACAACTGATGATCGTGTAGGTCCATACAGACGATCACGTCGTCGATTTTCTGCTCGGAGACCAAACAAAAGGATCACAGCATTGATTACACCGAATGCACAGAAACCCAGATTGACAGCATGACCAAGGATAAAGCGAGGTGCATCCTGTGTTCGATAGAGTTGTCCACTGATCACTCCACCGATGTTACCCACCGAGATCATGAACGCCAATGCAGTAGCTCGTTTCGTATGTGGACTGATGTTGCCTGATAAAAAAGCGATACAAGTGGCTATACATGGCGAAAGACCACCAGCTGCAAGAATCACAGCAAGATAATTGATAATTAAATGCTTAACTGCTATTAGAATAGTATAACCAACTATGCTGATAGCGAGCCAGAAAATGATGAAGATACTACGACGAGCATATTTGTCAGAAAAATAGGCCGTGATCATCGTAGTTAGAAAAGCGAATACATAAGGTGGCGCACTAAGTAGTTGAGCCTGATAGGTGACGAAACCAAGATGCTGAATGATAGTTGGTGAGAAGAAAGATAGAGAATAGAAAGGAACACACAGCCCAATGTAGCATAGGGACCAAATGTAGACTTTCCATGTCGATAGAGCGGCCAGAACTTGTTTCCAGCTGAAATGCTCGCTAGCTCCAACTCCTGTATCGGTTTGCAGTCGAGCCATGACACGTTTGCATTCGGACTCGGTAAGAAATTTCGGTCGATCAGAAGGAAAATCATTAAGAAGAAAAAAGGCCAATGCTCCAACAACTACTGTAACGATACCTTCTAGATAGAAGATCCAACGCCAACCTTCTTGTCCACCAACACCGGTCATTTTGCTGATACCATAGGCGAGTACACCACCGAAGGCACCAGCAAGAGCAGCAGCCGAGAAAAGAATACTTACACGCCATGAGAGTTCACGTCTCTTGTACCAACTTGAAAGATAGAAGCTAGCGCCTAGAAAAAAAAACGAATCGCTGATAGATTATAGGTCTCAACTATTTCTTCTTCCCTATACCTGGAAAGAGTCCAGATTCAAATGCACCCAAAAATAGACGACATGCAAGAAGATCTCCATACGATTTTACTAGACCCATCAGCGTCATCACGATGCCCCATGCCAACATGATCATTGGTATCCATCGACTAGGTCGAAGTCGTTTCAATATCAAATTCGAGGGAATCTCGAACACGACATAAGTGATGAAGAATACACTTAGACATGCATTGTATTGAGTACTGCTCAGCTTCAATGACACTGTTAGACCGTCAAGTTTCGCCTGGCCAATATTTACTCGATCGAGAAAACTCAGCAGATAAAGCAATGTCAAGGTTGGAATCAGATGCCAGTCCAATTTGCGTAGGAGCTTTCTGTCACCTGGATCATATTCCTTATCATCGACAACAACCTTCACTTCATGTATGACAGACTCTGTCTTGACAAATTCTGCCTTGATAGATTCTCTCTTGACAGAGGCCGACGGACTACTCTTCTCACTAGTACTGAAATCATTCATGGAGTGCGTCGAGTATGATTTTTCTCAGTAATAATAACCTACTTCACAGGAACAATTTTACATACATATAAATGAAAACAGAAAAAAAATTAAGAAAAAGGACGGTGTGACTAACCGATGTGCAGCTCTAGGTATACCAATTTCTACCATAGTGTTATCAAGCCATTCTATCTCGCTCGCTTTTGAAACGAAACACAACATGTGCTTGAAGGTAATTTTTTATGTTCTGGACGATTTATTGATATAACGAGCAACTAAGAAGAAATCTGTACAGTAGTCGATACAGAAAAAGGTGAGAAACTCATTAAACACTACTATGATCGTAAATAAAGATAATTTTGTTAATATTCAATTGCGAAAACTATCCGAAGGCGTCCAAATCATTGCACCTCAGAAGGTCTACAGTTTCTGACGATCAATCATGCAAAAATAAGTTAGAGTAACAATCAAATTAAAGTCAAATAATGTCATATGTTTTTAATTGACTTAAAACCATATTTGTGTCGAGATTGGTCACTGAGACCGAATAGAATGTGAATGTGGGCGTGAGTATGGATGGGTTTGTCCATGTTTCATCTCTTCACACGCACGCCAGCACCCTGATGACGGTTTTTATATTGAATATATGACAATTGTAGAAAACAAATACATCATTTCAAATTATCGTCGACATTTTTTATATAAATTTTTATCGTTATAGAAACCCATAACAGCATCAATGAACATATTGACAAATGTATTCTATCGGTTCGAATTTCTAGGAAGGCTTTCGAATATTCTAGAACAGTCGTAGTCTTTTCATTGATGCCGCTCAATTCTTTTTTCATTGATAAGAAGCTCTAGGAAAGGAATCAGAAATCTGTTGTTCAGGGTTGTTGAGGTCTGTAATGCGCGAGTAAGAGTTACTTTAGCTAATTTCTGTATTCATCTTTGATAACTGAGAGATAGAGTCAATGCTTTTGATTAAATATGCAGAACTTTTATTTTATTGGATAAAACAATAGTTAAATGAGTTCATTGAATGAATTGATTGATCTAATTATTATTTCTTTAAGATCATCAAAATTATCACGTAGAAAAAAAACCTCTGTATTCATTTGAAATATATTTTATTTATCGTGAATAAGGAAAATGCAATCATATACGACACTACAATTATTTAGTATTGTTTTTTTTGTAATTCATTACACATTATTCAACAAAGTTTTATATTAATATCTTATTATCATTTGTACTATCTGTGGTTTTATTCGTTCTATTGTCTGATGAAATATGTTGATGATATTTAATCGACAATTCCATATATGAAAACCAAAAGCGATTGCCGTTATTATAAAAAATGTAAGAAAGAGTCCACCTAAGACATCAAGTGAAAATGTTTCACTTTTTTTACCATCAACTTGACTCAAACTGTTTGGTGATGATGATGATGACGATGAACATGCTCGATACTTCAACCATACATTTTCTAATGATTCTAATTTTTGTGATTCACGTAATTCTAATATATTAACATCTAAATCTGTCTTGTATAGCCAATTTTTAGGTACAACAATGGCAAATGATGTTTTAATAAAACCAACACCAGTTACAACTAATTCATTACAATAATAATTATTAACAGCATATTCAAGTATAGATGAATCCCATATAGATGCATCAATTGTATGATCAAGTAATCTCAAGTATGTCTCTTCAACTGTAGAAAGAGTATAATAATTAGTAGATATATTTCGTATATAATAATCAGATACAGCTGAATTGGTGACAATACCAATACGTGAAAAAGGTAAAAGACCATTTTTAATATCATCAATACCAGAAATAAATGGTTGAGCACGATTTAATGTAAGAAAAGATGAAAGATTAGCTGTATATGTTGCAACAAGAATAATACCTAATACATATAAACCTAAAATTGTTAATCGACTTGATGTTGTTGTTAAACGTATATCACCACTCATAATTAAAATATTAATTATGCCATGAAATATACTAGTCCAAACAGCTTTTAATTCAAATTGATTATTTTCAATATTTCTATTTTGATATTCAAATACATAGATAATCATACTTGAATAAATCATAACTGCAAATATTGTTGCCCATACATCCCAAGTAAATGGATTAAAACATAAGAAAAGACTAAGTGATGATGAATGTGGATTTAATCGAGTAATAATTCGAAAAGTATTTTCATGAAAAGGTGTTGAAAAGTCAACTTTAAGCATACGATCTGAAGTAATTGCAATATTAGATAAAACAATATCATATTGACGATTATCTTCTTCTAATAATGCAACAAGAGAATGATAGGCTGTTGATGGATCAGCTACACTAATTGTATAATTAAAATGCATATATCTTACAAGTTCACGAATGAAATCAGCAACAAATCCGTAAATAAGAACTTTTGGATTTTCAGTTTTTAGAGGATCGCCACGAAAATCGACTCGTTCTGTGTCATGAGTTGAAGAATTACGTACTATAACGAATGGAGGTGCATCAATGACAAGAATTCGCAAATGTTGACCTAAAAATAATGTATGGAAATTATATCATTGTTTAAATAAAATATAAATTTGACTTGATTTTGTATCAAAAATAGACAGATAATAACAAAGAATATTGAGAAGAAATTCTATTTACAACAATATATCGCAAAATTTTGATCTTATTAGGAAACATTCTTAGATATCTATCGACATATTTCTGAGGAGATCGAACTTTTTTTTAAATTTCGACTACAGAATCCGACATTGAAGCATGATTATACTTTCGAATATCGATCTGAAATTATTACCCACATAAAGACATCAATCAGATTAAGATGCATAGAAAAAGAATGAACATCTTATGAGAAAGCGTTATCAACTGTCCAATCGCTTTTAAGTTCAGACCCCAGTGATATATGAAAAATCCCAAAAGGATAAGTGCTCTTAAGTCTTCTGTCCAGAGTTATAGGCATTTTATCGAAATTTTAGTCTCTAGCATAGTAAATATCAACAAATCGAATGGCGATATTTCGAGCCGAAATTTTATCCACAGACAGATCTAGTTGTGAGTAGGATGCTCTGATGATTTCAGCTCAAAAGAATGTTTTCTTCCCAATCTTTTGAACTGAAATTATCAGAGCATCCCACTCACAACTAGACCTGTCTGTGGACAAAATCTCGGGTCGAAATACCGTCATTCGATTTGTTGGTATTTACTATGCCAGAGACTAAAATTTTGGTAAAATACCTATAACACTGAACAGAAGGCTTAAGGACACTTATTCTTATGCCGTTTTTCATATCTCACTGGGGTCTACCTTATGTACAGAGTCTGAACTCAAAAGCGATTGGACAGTTGACAATATTTCCTCGTTAGAATATTCCGTCGTTAGATGGATATATATTTTCATATGAGGTCTCAAAACTTCTAATTTTTCTTGACTATCAATATTCTTTTTTGCTTTTCCTTTCTAATTATTCATAAAATGAGACAAGAGTTTTTTCGTTTCTTTTTTTTTATATTAAATTATTAACTTTTGTCTAACCTCGAAGTTGTGGATAATCAGTAGGTACTTTTGTGTGTTCATTGCTGGGCCAGATGATATAATTATGACGTTCATCAGTTGAATTCGTCCAATCATGAGTTGTTTCATACCATGTCAATACTTTTATATAGGTTGGTTCTTGTTTTCCTCTACTGTTTTTCAACCTCGTTAATTGTACATTGTAGAGTCCATACATGACACCATAAATACAATTATCTGAATTATTTTTAGAAAATTGAACATGTCCTGACACGCCGAAAAAACTAGTATTTTTCAGATGATCAAGATATTTGTCATAATTTTGTAATAAACAATCAAAACAAGTCAATGATTTATTCATCGACAGTGATTTATTGTTAAATACTGATTTATTTAATGATTGAACTAAAGCCCAAACAGCATCAAATGTATACATAGCTTCTAGACTGATAGTAGATGCAAGTTCTCGAATTTTGTCTTTATCATGTGATAAATTATGCCAAACATCAAAAGCCTCTTTTTGTAATGTTTCATTAATACCAAAGGCATTACTATTACCTACAAAAGGCGCTACGGTAAGAATACCATTTAAATTAAGCCATTGCTTTTGTTCGAATGTATTGAAATCAATCTGAAAATAGTAGTGTTACCATAGCAATTAAAATGAATTAATTAAGTTATGTGAAGATTATAAAACACAGAATAAATCATTTGTGTCACCAAAAATGCATATCAATCTGTAGATTTTTCTCTTAATGATATTTTAATTTCTTTCAGAAAATGGATGAATTTTTTTAAAAAAACTTAAAATATCTTTATATTTACCTTATTTGTCGTTATCCATACGTAGCTTCCACTGAGAAGGTTTGCATTAAGTGCATGTTGAATAATTCTTGTAGATGAACTATGATTAGCCCAGACTAGTACAATACGAGATGGGCTTTTTCCTAATAATTGCGTTAAATCAGCTTGAAATTTATCAAATCGTGGATCAAATACTAATCGTTCTCCAATTGTTAAATTTGCATAATAAACTTCTGATAATAATTTCAATCCACCATAACCATAATCATCATTTCCAATAATTATTGAACAAGTTTTCCATGAAAAATATTTAAACAATTTCACAATAGCTTCAGCTGTAAGAATATCCGAAGGAATAGTACGATAGAATGTTGGATAGTTAAATATATCATCAAGATCAGCATTAGTTGCAGTGTAAGAAATAAGTGGTAAATGCATACGTCCCGCAAATGGACCAATATAGCGTACACTAGTTGAACTTGTTGGTCCGACAACACCTATAACATCGGGTTCTGTTGCATTCGTAATGGATCGACAGACAAGTTCAAGTTCGGCAAAACCAATACTATTTGCATTTGTCTGAAGAATAGTGTAACTGATAGGATGACCATTTACATAGATATTGTAGCGATTGGCAAGAGTAATAGCTGCACGAAACATTTCTATAGATTCAATTGTCCAATGGGAACTTGAATTTGTGTTCAAATATTCAAAAGATACATTATGATATTTAGGGAAAAGACCAAGAATTTGAAGAGTATTCAAAGAATCAAGAGATAGAATAAAGCAGACAAGTAAAATAAAAAAGCGAGACATAACGATTTCAAAAGAATGAAATGATATGAAAGAGTTGTTTCTAACCGTTTTTTTTTCAATTTTTTGAACATATGGAAGTCCTTATGTAGAACTAGAAATATCATAATTTCAATGATGATAACAAAAGCAATATATTAATAGTGAACTTTCTGCTCTTATGTCTTTCATGATTTATTGCGCGCGTAATTATTTTCAGTTTGCATATTGTCTAACTTTATCAGAAATATTGTTGTAAATATACTTGTATATTCAAATAATCTCTATAAAAAAAACAAAGTCTCGCGAAATACACTTTGGAATCATATCGATAATTTTTATTTAAAAAAAAATCTTGTATCTGCTGATTATAATGCTTTGAAATTATTACAATTCAATTACTAACAAATCAATGTCGTCTTAATAATAAATTTTCTACCATTGTAATAATTCAGAGAATACAATAAAAGCATTGAAATGAAAAACTTGACAAACATTTTATGAGAATAAACATTTCTTTTCTAATAATTATCTATAAAATATCTTTCTTCGATAGATAATTAACTGATTACATTAAACATTTGTTCATCATTGTCAGACGAAAGAAGAAAATAAAAGGATATTGATGTCGTTGTAAGAAGATTTCTATTGCAATGAAACGAATATGAAATATGAAAATCATGATATATATATATAAATTTTATTTCTTTTACACAAACTAAAATGTATTATATATTTGATTCGTTTATTTTATTATTATAAGCATTGATGACTTGCAGATTATCATATATCTATATATATATATATTGTTCAGCATTTGTCTGTCGATCTATTTCTCTGTGCCGGGTCAAAGGTCAGATAAGACTATAAGGGGAGGGCGCCAAGAGCTACTGCGGATTCATAGGTCCTAATGGGCTATTATATGAGGGTACCCATAGATTCTCAAGAGGGTAATGGATAAGGATATACGGATAATGGGGATAAGAGGCTAAGGCTACAGGGGCATAAGCGATAAAGCTAAAAAAGTATAAGGAGATAAGGGTATAGCGGATAAGTAGATGAGACTGCATGTGATCTAAGGGATGAGAGAATAACGAAATAAGGCTGCGAGAGTATAAGGCTATAAGGTCTCTCTCTATATAAAATGCAAACTGTCTGATTGTCTATTACCGAATCAAGACTAAAGGACAGATGTGAAACTTTACAGGAAAAAGCATCCGTGTACTATGCACAGGCTCTCGCTAGTAATAAATAATGCGTCTATTTGCTCAACAAATCTCTTATTAGACTTGTTTTAAAAGACAAGAAACAATTTTAGAGGCAAATTTTTTTCTTATTGTGAATAAAATACATGAATGGTATTGTTTCAAACAAATCAAAGTTAATCGTTAGCTTGAAAATCTATCAATAATTTGATCATGAAATCGTACTTGTTCTATATTATCTTGAAACAATATTAGTCACAGGTTGCTGTTGTGCATTGAAATTTGATCCAAGATTTAGCGTCGTGAGTGTCTGTTGCCAACGATGACAATGAATATGAGACAGATAACATCGTAGACAAATATCCTCAATCTTACAAGTCATGTTACATGTCTATACGACTAGAATATGTGATATTAATTATTCATTGACACTTCACTTCTTAAATGAAGTTTCAATCTATAACCACCAAATATAGACATGGAGTGAATAACAGAATCCTACAGAATATTAGAGTCTCAGGTCTTTAAGAGCTATTGCACGAAAGAGACAACTCAAATATGTACCATGTGCTCAATTAATATCACAAATTTCAATGAAACATTGTCTATATGTAGTCCCAAGCAAGATATGAAAATGCCAAATTATTTCAACTTCTAAAGCCACCCTCCTATTGAAATATTAAAATCATAGTAGGAGTCCGATCACAGAACATCTGACAATAACCAATGCAGTACCTATTCATTGTATAGTTCGCCATTTTTCAATAACAATATTTCTAGTCATGAAATTTTATGGATATTAAATACCGGCGTGTAGGTACATTACATACTGACACACTTAAAATCACTTTTCGATGTATTAAGCAGTATAGAGGCAATTCCTATTTTTTGACCAAGACGGATGTGATGTAAATGTGAGTCACCAATTTACTCATACCTACACCTAGAATGGGAAAAGGAAAATGAGAAATCAACATGGATATGTGTCATGTCGCTGGGAGTTTACTGGATTTTCTGGACTTAAGGATTTTGCTATTCATCCATTAGACATCTAACACGTCTTGTATAAGTATCTTGGTGTTTTACAGTAAAATCATAACTTAGTTTACCGTATTAATTTGTAATGCATCGGTAAAATATTGGACTGCCTTCTCCTCAATACCATTTTCTGCAAGATCCAATGTTGTGAGTGTCTGTATTGAATTAGAATAATGAACATGTGTGATAGATGACAATAGAACATGTATCTTACTGTATTATTTAGCAATGCATTAGCTAAATATTGTGCTCCTGCATCCTTGATGTTATTACATTGAATATACAATGTCTTAAGTGCCTATCAAAATGATAATGTTGAATGAATGATCTGCAAAACAAAAAATATTGTTTCACTTTATTGATTTGCAGTGCATTGGCCAGATACTGCAATCCGTTAGTCTCGAAAGAATTATTGCCAATATTCAGTATTATGAGTGCCTATGTTAAATAATAATGATGAATATATGATAGAAGAGAAAAGAATTTGTATTACTGTGTTTCTTTCTAATGCCTTAGCTAAATATTGCATTCCGTTATCACTAAAACCAGTTCCGAAGAGATTGAGTGTTGTAAGTGTCTATGTTGAATGATGACGTTAAGTATAGAAAAACTGAAGCAGAGAACTTCTCTTACAGTGTTAGTGTATAGTGCATCAGCCACATATTGTATTCCGTTATTGTCAATTTTATTTCGAGCAAGAGATAACGTTGTAAGTGTCTATGGAAAATACGTAGTATTGTTGTAGACATAATAGGTATTTTTGGGGTTCGACTCACAGTATTTATTCGTAATACTTGAGCTAAAGATTTTGTACCTTCCTCATCAATTCTATTGTTTCTAAGACAGAGTGATGTTAATGTCTGTGTAAAAGTAATAGTAATGGATGTCTAATAGATAATTAGAAAATTTTTCTTACCCTGTTCATTTCTAATGCATTAGCCAAATATCCTGCTCCTTCAGCATTAATTAAGTTTCGAGCAAGTTTCAATGTTTTAAGTGTCTATGTATTGAATAATTATGATGAATAGATGATAGAAGACTAGATAATTTATCTTACTATATTCTTCTTTAATACTTCTGCCAGATACCGAGCTCCGATATCTCCAATCCCGGCGTTTTCAAGCTCAAGCTTTGTGAGAGACTATGTTGAATGTTTATAATGAATATATAATAGGTGAATGGAGAAAATTTTCTCACTCTATTGCTTTCTAATACATTAGCTAGATATCGAACACCGTCACCACCAATTGTATTGTCTGAAAATATCAACGTCATCAGTGTCTATTTTGAATAATAATGTAAATTTTTTGATAAATAATTCAAGAGTTATCGCACTTTATTGTTTTGTAATATATCAGCTAGATATTGTGCACCTTGAGCATCGATATGATTTCCTTGAAGTTTAAGCGTTGTGAGTGTCTATTTTGAATGATAATATTAGAAATGTAATATATAAGTAGAAATTCTTTCTCACTGTGTTTATTTTAAATATATTAGCCAAATACTGTAATCCTTCATTGCCAATTACATTCCATGAAAGACATAATGTAGTAATTGTCTATACAGAATGATCAATGCTTTTTTTCTCTACCGATATCTCAATAGATATCTTATTCTACCGTGTTATTTTGTAATACATCAACGAACCGTTGCAATTTTTCTTTGTCAATTTTTCCACATTCGAATTGCAATGTGGTATATGTCTAAACAAATTTTTATGTTCTATTCGAACAACATATATTCAATACGAGAAATATTGATGATTAGAATGTGTATTTAGAGATATTAGTCGTAGATTCAATAATATGATGGAAAATATCATTGATCGTTTTCTGTTGATAAAAAGAATTACAGTTAATATTAAACAAAGATGAATAAATAAAATTTCTTTCATTAGTATTAGTAAACAATGTAATGAAATAATTAACGCAAACAAAATGAGAATAAGGATAAAAGTAAAAACATTCAGCATATTTATTTATATTGAATGGTAACTTGGAGATTAATCGAAACATTACAGCTTTAATTAATACACTTGTTTTAAATTTTCAAAGAAATATTGACATTTAAAATAAGCGAAAATTAAACTGTAAGTCAAAATGTACAGAATCAGCTATAATCTCGAGATTAGAATAAAAAAAAATTAAAATATACTGAGTCTGAACAAACTGTTTGAAGTAGAGCCAAAAATTTTAGTTAAGCTGTTTATAATTTTTAGCGAATTATATTCGAAATCATTTTAATCAAAGCAAAATTCAAGAGAGATGACCCAAAAAAAATGACATTTATCGGGTGAATTAATCACACTAGCAAATATTTAAAGACTTTTTAGGTTTTGATGTGAATAAGTTCTGAAATGGCTTTTCTCTAAGTCAAAATCAAGACGAAGATCGAAACCAGATCAGATTTAATAGAACTATGATCGAGAGCACTGAAAAGGAAGCCACCGAGATCAAGTATAAAAATACATGATTCCACACATTTCTAACTGTTCAAGTTTTCATATATGAACAATTTCGAACTGTTATTGATGAAAAGATATTAAATCTTTTTTTCTTTCATATTAATGTTCTTTGATTCAATCAAAAAACATCAAATGATATATATTTTTTTTATGTAATTCCTCATAGAATAAATGATGCATCCATACACGATAGAATTTTTCTTGTTTTTAAATATAGTATATGGAAGAACTTAACGTTTTATAAAACCATTCGTATTTTATTTCTATTTTCAAAAAATAGCGTCGAGTATTAACAAGCTCAAAAAATATCTTTGAAATAATCTGAGACAAATCCACTTTTTGTTTTCAAATTTACAAGTAGAATTTCTAAGATACATTTTTAATATCGAAATAAGTGATATTTTCTTAAATGACGATTACCTTATATCGATGATATGTACTTATAATTGCATTGAGTCTTGTGCAAACATCATAGAATGAGAAAAGAATTTCTAGTTGATGGAGATTGTCAAGAATTCTGTAGACATGTTCGACAGGTAATGTATGAAGACATGGAATAATCATTTTAGTCATGGATATAGTTTCATTCATAATATGTAAGTTAGACTTTAATACTTTCTTATTCTAACCTATTTATATGACTATGTGTCACGAAAGTGTCTCGTAATTTTGCAAAATAATTACCTGAATGTGTGAATGAAAAAAGGAAGTAAAAAAGAATGGTTGTCACGTGGTGTTTCTGTTCTCTTTCTTTTTCACTTTTCTTTCGGTATTTTTATCATAGTAATATAGAAACAGAACAACAAGAGAATAGTAGGCAGTGTTGAGAAAGCAGAACGAAAAGAAGAAATTTCATATCGAAGAAAAAGCACGTCAGTAGTTCTCACTTAATAATTTTATTTATAACACTCCAAGACGCACATTACGCATATGAATTCATTGGAAAGTTGCTACAATATTTAGCAACGAATGTATTAACAAAATCAAAAATAAACTCCCTATCTCATACTATATAAAATTTTGATAAAGAAATTGCTGAACTATGTGATTTTTAAAGATACATATCTTTTCGATTCCATTTTGTTTTCTCTATAGTTAGAATTCGATCATTATCTGTCAGTTTTAATTTTGTTCATACTTAAGATTGAAGGAGTACAATATATTTTACAAAAAAATTCAATTATAACGTTGAATGTTTTCACTTTTTAAATATTAAAATCATATTCATCATAAACTATCAAAAATTTAATTATAAAGAATTCAGTTATTCAAATGTTCTTTGACATATAGACAACATTAACAATGAAATTCCAACATAAAAATTCCATGAAAATATCTCCCATGTAACAAATATTCAATAAAACTAAGATTAAAATATACTTTTTCATTATGTAAAGATAAATTGACATCAGAAGTTTTCGTTTTTGAGGATGTAGATGTAGGCACGTTACATCCTAAGTTACAACCACATCCACACCTAGTTACCATTTGGATTTTAATAAACTACTCATAGTTACGTATTTTGTCAATGAGTGTAACAGTTTTATGCTGTATTGTATTGACTCGTTTTTCCTACCTTTGAAGAATTTCAACTATAACAAAGTTTTGGAAAGCTTTATTCTTGCATAGTACTAAATAAACTCGACGCATTACATTACACGAAAAAAAGAATTAGCAATCAAATATTTGCAATAAACAATCAGATTTTCAAATAATATCTAAAAAAAAAAGAATCAACTCTATCATTCTTAAAGAGTATTATTGCATGAAAGATTATTATTATTTGTGTCGGTAGTTTCTATAAACGATAAAATAGAACGTATAGATTAAAAAACAAGTTCGTTATGACTGTTTTTATCGTTCAACCTCTTCACGACAGGAGACGTATATATATGTTCGGTTTTGAATCAGTCCGTAATGAACATTTGCAGGGTCTTATAGTACAGTAATAACTTATATGGTGGTGCAGACCATAGATATGACAGTACTGATGTGACGTCACACTACTGTCTGTATGATGTTCTCATTTACTCTCTTTGAAATGAATATATTGTCTCATAGATTTGGAAACTTTCATCTGTATCAAAAGTTTGTTCCGTCTTCAAGGAAACAATAACCAACACATTCAAATCTGATACGAAATAGATAAATTTGAAGGGCGTGTTTATCATACCCATAGGCTTTCTACTTGATGGTATCAGAATTAATTTTTTTTTATGATTAATATTGAAAGATGACAGTAAACTACTGTATATAACCATTCGTTTATTCGCTATCTTATCTTTGTACAAAATGAAGAATGGTTATATATGAAGTAGATTTATAAATATTAATTACGTAAATAATGAAGGATAGACAAAATCGATGCAAATATTTAAATAGCGAAAGAACAGATAAAATCAAGGTAAAATGTCTATATTCGCCATATATCGAATTATACGCCATTTTTATTTTAATTATCATCATTCTGAATCGACTCCTGTATGGATTCATTCAGTTTTTATGCAACGTGTTCAATTTAGTTTTCAAGAAGTGATATATTTTTTATTTATTGGTTTTCTTGCTTATGGAACTCAATTAGCTAATCAACTTTCACTTGAATATCTTGTTCCTATAATAAGTATTGTATGTTTACAACAAACGTTCGGATAAACATTATCTTGTTGTTACCAAATAACTTTAGTTATAACACCTCTTTCGATATTTTTATTTGTTGCAAAAAAAATTGGTCTTAGTTATCATGATTATCTTGCAACGGAACTTTTACTATTATTTACATCATTTTGTATTGCATATGGATATACTCAAGTAAATATTAGAAATTTTTTAATATTTCATGACTGATTTTTTTTTTGTAGGTTCAAACTAGAAAAATTTCTTTACTTTACAATGTTATATATTTTTCTGGGAATTTTTCTAATCCTAGTATTCTATCAACATATTCTTTTGAATTACTCGGAATTTATCTTCTTGGAATGGTTATAGCTTTGCTTGTATCACTTATTATCTTTCCTCTTTTTGCTACTTTTGATATTGAAAATCGGTTTAATTATTCTCTATCAAAACTTCAACGTATGCATACATTGATTATTCAAGCATTTCTTTGTTCAGATAAAATGAGTGCACATATGTTATTGACAAGAGCATCATTGATAGAAAATATGGTTCATAATACATTAACTCCAATTCAAATGAAACTTGATGAAGCTCATTTTGAACCAGCTCGATTGTTACAAAAAATATTCAATCGAAAACACATACATATTATTGATTTGATATTACAAAGTAATTATTTCTTAATTAAAA